CCCCCCCCCCCCAAATTGGAAAAAAATAATTTTTTTTTAAATAGTTTACAAAAGAAGTAAGATATTTTAAAAATTATTTAAGGGGAAATATACACCTGGGTAGGTCGGAAAAATCGATTTTTTTCCATCTAATTATGTTTTTCACTGTTTCAAGAATCATAATCCAAAAGATTTCCGAAATTCGTCACAGTTTCATTGTAAACATTAATAATGTTGAAGCGCTCCCAGCTCGCTTCAACAGGTTTAACCAAAGATTGATTAAATGGACTATGGACTCGCATTATTAAACATTCATCGAGAAATTGATTTGGATGTTGAAAAAATCATTGACATATTTGCCAACGTTTCTAAAAATCGCATTACATTTATTATTTAAAGATTTTGAATTACAGTACAGAACCCGTTATCCGGAAATCAGAAAACCAAAAAACCGGAACAAAATTCGATCAATATTCCCGCCATTTAAAAAAAAATTTTTTTTTTTTTCCTCATAAGATATCAGGATTTTTCATTCTTTTTTGAAAGATGTTTACCTTACCATCATTTTGGAAATAATCATTAGTGTATTACTTCATTGTTTTTTCTTCTTTTTAAGATTATATCCAAATATTGTTTTTTAGTTGAGTTTGACAATAAAAAAACAGCTTTTTGTAGCGATTCAGAAAATCGGAAAAATCAGTTATCCGGAATAGCGATGGTCCCGATCGTTCCGGATAATCGGTTTCCCTACTGTATTTATGTATTGTTCATTATGAAAAAAATAAATGAGAAGACTAGCATTAAAAAAACCATTTTTTTTTTATATTTTAAAAAATTTTTTTTTTTTTTTTATATATTTTTTTTTACGCCATTGGTAGNTAAAAGAGATAACCGATAACCTCCTCGAACATGCTTTAAAACTACGCCATTGGTAGGGGTTATGAACACTCCCCTCTCACTGCCAAGATTAATATTTCTTTTGATATAATTATTACAATGCTTCATAAATTAGCTACTTAAAAGTGCTTTCAAGACAGGTTCTTACCTTATAGTTAACTCTAGAAAGGTGTTAACTTGTGTGGGAAAACAAATTACAATGGCATAAGTAATTAGAAAGATAAACGTACCATCACAAGCCCAGTAAAGACAGAAAACGTGTTATCAGTAGCAGTTGCAGATATGAGAATTTCCAACTTCCTGCAGAATTTCGGACTTTCTAAACTTAGGAAAAGAAAATGTTATTTTATGTCTATGGTTAAATATCTATTATATATATGTATATTTTAATCTTTCTACATTATTTTGTTTATATATATATATATATAATAATAATAATAATAATAACAATAACAGGGCTACCTCCCTGTTATCATAGGTGTATTCATCTTTAGAAATGCAGTCAAAAGCCATAATAAGTTATCAAAAGGTTTATTAAAAGTTATGCTGGTGGTTATAACAGATATTTATTTGAACACGTTATTCAGCAAAGAGACATGCGAATTAGCTTAATTTGAAATCTTTTTACCATATATTTATTTAATTAAAATAATTTTTTAATTGAATCATTAAATATTAAGAGGAAAGGAACAAATTTTTCACTTTAATCCTATTTAATTTTTTAATTGCATCGTGAATTAGTAAGTTATGGGAAGTAATTTCAGGGGATGACAATATTTGAAGTTACTGAATTTAAACGTTGAAAAAAATTATTGTTTGACTTAACCGTGAGGTATTATAAAATGAATTGCACATTTAGAGAAACAAAAACAGTCCTTAGATTTAACAGTAAGAATAATTCTTCTACATTTTTATTGTGGTTTAAGAAGGTTATTTTCGACATTAAAATATTTTTTAAGTTACACTTTTTCTTATCATATTAAAGGGATATTACTAAATCCACAAAATTATAATATTCGCAGCCATTTTATCATAGGAATTATTTGTGATGAGAATTGAATATTATTCAGGAATATTAGGTGTTTTGATTTGTTTTGGAATAATNATATATATAAATTGTAAAGTATTCAAATTAAAGAGTAAAAACAATATATTTCTGGAGGAAAGAGGAAGTGTAAAACCATTCTCTGCGTAAATTGAGACAGTTTACGTAAATTGAGACAATTACTGAACTTATTTAAAATATCTTTATTTGTTGAATTTTAAAAGTTAGCAATAATAAAATAGATACAGATTTAGTAAGCGTACGTGACTTTACGCTTAATGTTTCCAGTTAATATAAAGACAGTAATTAATAATAATTTAATAAATTAAATAAAACCAGAATATGAACAAATGAATAAAATTACTATGGATAATTCTCGATTCGAATAATTTTTACCTTTTTTTCTCGTAGCATCGAAGGTTTTTGTATGAGCCTCATTTTAATTCTTTTCTTCTAAGTTTTATTTAATACCTCAATTTTTATGTCGATATTTTTTTTACATTTCATTTTGACTACGTTAAAGGTTCCGTCCGCAGCTATTTATTTTCCCCCATTCTTAAGATCTTTAAACATTTTTTTCCATCCAAATGAATTCGAAATTTAAATGAAATAAAACGTATTGTTCATAATTTAATTTGAGTTTTCGAATTAAAATTAGAAAAAATAAATTTGAGTAAATATGTGGAATGGCCAAGCTAAATTTACCGAATTGTAAAAATGTTTGGGAGATCGCAGTGACCTCTCCATCCCGACGTCCCTGTCTATTGTTATTGAAGTTAGGCCCCGAAACCAAAAACGAATTTCATCGAAGAAGTAGAAATTGAATAATTGGATGTATATTTAGTAATTTATTGAAAGCATTTTTAAAAAATGCAGTTGCAGTTCAAATCAAAAAAATATTAAAACCAAAAAAAATTTATCAGAAAAGAGCTAGCGAAGAAAGATCTAAAAATATAAAATAAGAAAAAAATTTAAAAATTTACTTCGTTTTTTGAGAATTTTTTTTAAACGAAATCTTACTACACCAACGCTAAACTTTCAGTTAAATTATTTAACAGTTAATATGTATATTATATATTCATAGTTTTTTAGTTATTTTTTTAGTTTAGTTATTTAGTTATAATTTTCGGTTAACTTTTCAAAATATTTTTTTCCAGTGATAGTCATTAAATATCTATGGATCTTTTGCTGTTCCTATTTATCAATTTAAATTTTAACATCGCAGATTTTAAGTTTTGATAAAAATGAAATTTATCATATTGTTTTGTCTAGGGTTATAAGATTGTTTTACCGAGGGTTAGGGTTCCCAAACCTTTCCAAATTGTAGTATCTTTATGATATTTGTAATTGTCTCACGGAACACCTGCTATAAAATAATTTTTCTTGGTACCATATTAATTTTATGGATATAATGTATACTTTATGTTAATAAGACAATGAAATAGAAAATATAAAAACAAGTGGTGTGAATTAGAGATGACACGCGCTCGTTTACTGAAAAAAAAAGAAAGGTCACGAGCTCAGACTCAATGATAAAATTTTCATAATTTTTTTAATTTTATACAAACGTTTGGTACAGTTATTAAGCATAAAAAATTTAAAATTTATAAAGGTACGAAAATTGCGGCGATCTGCTATTTCTGTTTGGTGCTTTTGCTTTGTGGGTCTAACACAAATTGTCAAATGACTTTTATTTGGTTTACAATTTTGATTTTATCTTTTTATTTTTGTTTTTGTCATCTTGGTGTTACAGTCAGTCCTATACCCCTCTCGAACTCTAAGTATATCTCTGAATTTCGGACTCTAAAAGGTTCAGACCTCCAAAAGCAAGCTCGAGCTTATCTTCAGTGCGATTGTAAATATTGTTTATACAACTCACACATAAAATCCGTTCAAATATTTGAATGAAAAATTTATAAGGCAATATTAATAAAATGTATGACGTTAAAAATATTTCTAATGTAAGAAAAAAAATGCAACAAAAGAAAAGTTATCCTCCACGATCGAAAATATTGTGAATTCGTTTAATGCGATAAGGGACGTAACAATAACGTAATAATGATCTTTGCCTAACTTTTCAAATACAATATAACTACTCGCATTTCTTTTTCGATATTTAATTTCAAGTGACTCTTCAGAATAGCAATAACTGAATCAAAATGGTAAAAATAGCAAAGGATTTTTTTTAAAAATTCAAAGCAGGATACTATAATCTTACAGATATACCAATCTCTGCGAAATCAATGCGAGAAAATTGGGTTTTTAAGCTGTCATCGCTAGATAGCTCAATTAAATTTTCTTCATTTATAAATTACTATAAAAAAATTAATATTCGACTTACGATGGGCACATTGAGGAGCATTTTAACTACGATGGATATACATTTAACATGCCCCCACTTTAGAGACGTTGCCATGCGTTCTATTTGCCATGTGTTTGAAGCAAATTGAGTGGCAGGTTTTTTTCACCTTGCAATATCCATTTTAATTATATTCTTTTCGGTCAGTGGGTTTTAGTCTCCTAGATTTTAATATTTCTTCTTTTTTTAATTGGCAACATTGTTTTTTTCACCCATCTGTTTTTCCATATTTCAGTCTTGATGAAAAGCGATTTGCTCGTTTAAAACATTCTTAAAATTTTATAAAGTGATAAAAGACTTCTTAGTCAAAAATTTTTTTTATTAATTAAATAATGAGTGTAATATTTTGGGTTAAAAATTATGATTGAGTAAATACAATATTTAAAATCACAAGTAATAAAACTTATTAAAACCTATACGCGTATATAGTACATATTCATCAGTAGGATAAAATAGTTGGGATGGCAAAAATAAAGATAATACAAATCGCATCCACCCAATCAGAAAATTGCAGTTTTTTACATCTTGGTTTTTGGAGCTCAGAATAGGGAGTTTTTTTCTTATGATTACCGATAGCATTTTTTTATAAAATGTCTAAACGTATTTATTACTTTTATGACCATTGCGTTAAATATGATCCGTTTAATTCTGTTTCGTTCTACTTTTTTTTGAAAATTAGCTTTCAACTTTAAAATTTTTTGACAAAGCACAAATTCAAAGTTATCTTTATCTCACTAACAAAATAGGCTTATTCGAGATGCGTGAAACAAACTTGATTAAAGATGAGTTGTTTGTTGTGAACAAAAAGAGTCACACGTAAGTATCTGTAGTAACTGGAAAAAAATTGTATATTTTTCCTCAATTTCTGTTATATTTTTTTTGTAATTCGTCAGTTTTGAAAATACAACTATTCAAAATTCGGTCATTCATTTGTGCTAATCACGTTCTGTGACGGTATTACGGTAGGAACCCGAAGTCAAGCTTTTACCGCTAAAACCTATCTTTTACCAAAGTGGCTTGATAAAGGTGTGAAATACACTTTAACATGATTCCATTTCGGTAAAACGTAAGAGTTAACAAGCCACTTTGGTTAGTTCTATGTTTTACCGGTAAAACCTAGGGTTTATCAGACTTCGGGCTTTTATAGTTGTTAAGGTAAAAACCCCAAGTCTTGTAGATCCTAGGTTTAATCTTTAAAACCTAGCTTTTTCCTAAGTGCCTTGACAAAAGTTTGTATTATGCTTTAATATGAATTTACTTAGTCCTTTTACCAATCCTTTGCGGTAAGACCTTAGGAGTTACCAATCCTTTTTGGTTACCCGGAAAACCTAGGAAACCAGACTTCGGGTTTTTACAGTAACAACGCAATCTCTCGAACTAGTAGGGTGTCGCAAATTTTAAAATATAATTTTTCAATATTAGCTAAGAAATTGATTAATTAGTTTTAAATATTTGTGTTAAAAAAGAAAGAAATGAAAAATTTTAACTAGTTCGTCTTTTAAAAAAGTTGATAATTAACATTCTAATTTCATCTTTAAGTAACCGTATTTTTACTCTGAAGTTCTGAATTCGCATTCACAGGTGTATTTGTTTCAAAGTATCTATTTACCTTACCAGCTTTTACTAGATAAGATCTTTGGCGCCTTTTTTTAGGAAAAATAAGACAACACAGTAAAGAAACAGATAAGAAAAATAAATAACGAATACAAAACTCTAAAAATTGTTACATGTTAAAGGAAATGAAAGATAATATAAGGACGTAATAATAAAGAAAATTGAAAAAGAAGAAATAATTTTTTCGTGCAAAATTTAGAGCTGTAAAATGAAATTTTTTTATTCTTCTAACAAAGAAAGTACATGAGGCATCACTCGCCAAATGGATTGATTTTATTTTTTTACCGATTGTTTTTTTTTCCGTAAATAATAAATAAAACTTTTTTGTGTTATTGTTAAGAAACTATTATGTTATAAAATTATCAAAAACTACATCTTTTAATTCGATGCCAAGTTTTATTCGTCCCTTTAATGAAAAGCACTGTTAGCTGTATTACTTATCTCGCCAATCGGAAGCTTGATTTGCGTCTTAAAAGACTAAAACTGAAAGATAAAATTTAAAAATTAGAATAAAATTCTATTGTTTTGATTTGTAAATTTTAAAGCCCTTACTTTACTCTGAATTTTAAAATTATTTTTTTAAATTGCAGTTTTACTGATGAATTAGAACCTAAAGAGAAATCGTTAATATTTCGAGAGTGATTCTTATTACCGTTATCCAGGATTGTCATAAACTGTAACAACTTTCCTCTCCTGCAAACGTGACAACATTTATAAGGCGGATCTTTTGGTGCAAATATGCAATTTTTTAGAATTTATTTTAGTTGCCTGATTTAACATTCAATAATTTATATCTCTACAACAGAAGCTAATAAGCAAAATATTTTCAATACATTATTGCCTAACCGAAAACATATACAATGTATGTACATTGTATGTACACAGCGGAAATAAAGGTAAGATCGGGTACCTCGATTGTGTCCAAATTACTTTTGTTTTCAGGTGTACACGTAGTGTTTCTACCACTACAAAAATATAATTCCAATTCCCTAGTATATAAGACATGTTAACTCGATTCCATGTTGAGGTACCTTTCCATAGATGAAGTTTGACATGATTGATAACAACTCACCGCCACATTGGTGACCCGGACGTGATGTGGATAAGCCTACTTTGACAGAAGCGCCCACTGCGATTTGAACACGCCTACTTCCAAGGCCGTAGCCAGGATTTTTTTTCTGGGGGGGGTGATATGGTAAGAAGCAAGGACTGTTTCAGACATGCAAAGGAGGGGGAAAACATTGTAATAAATATTCTTTATTCTGTTGTTTGCAAAAGTTAAACTAGTAATTAAAAATATTACATAATAATTAGTTTTCAATTAATATTACATAATAATTATAATCAATTTGTAAACAAAGTTTACAAAGACATGCGACGGGGATTTGAAGAAAATTTTTCGATTACTTTTTTAGGACAAACCGGAATATTCCGAAATATGCTTAATAAAGTTAGTTAATAAAGGGTTTGATTCGACAGTTTTTGTTTTTCTTTTTACTGAGAGGCTCAAAGAAAGACTAAAAAGTTTGAATCCCAGAATTTCGGGGGGGGGGATTTGTCCCGACGGTCCCCCCCTAGCTACGGGGCTGCCTACTTCGATGGATGGTCCACACTGAACAGTTGACTTGCTACTTGTGACTGCGACATTGTCCTCCTCACTCTGTTGCTTCTCAGTCTCGATGTGTCACAACGAGGGCCTGTATACACTCGACTGCTAATGGCAACACAGGAGCAACCACGACCGTGATCTTAATACAGCTCTCACGATCAGCAAAAGTTCGGTGATCTTAATACAGCTCTTCCGGCTTCTCACAAAAACAGCAATGAATCAACTAGTGGCATCCGTTCATCGAATTCCATTTTAGATATAATTCTGGTGGAGGAATACTGAAATTACTTTTCTTGACAAGAAGGACCTAACATATTGGAGTGTTAATGATTAATTCATGGCCTTAGTATAGATAAGTTTGTTAGATCTCTAATTCTTTGTTTTTAAACTAGCCTTCTCTATTGGTTGTCAAAATTACAAAAATTATTTTTAGTCCAGCTTATTATACGTTTACTAAAGATTCATACACTGACAAAAAATAGGGACTTAGTCTAACAGTAGTACTGTTCCGTTACATTTCGAGAACCGCTTCCCTCAGGGTTAAGACCGGGTACTACACGTCCCCCTCTTCAACCTTGATAAGTTTTTATGCTGAACCCACAAAAGTAAGATTCTGTAACTTTGAATAAGCATTAATTACAGATTTTGTAACTTAATTAATAATTTTGTAACTAAATTCAACAATTAGTTAAAATATTTGGAAAAATCCGATAGTTGGAATGAAAGTTATTTAATGTGTTTTTTCTTTTGGGACTCCCTGTTCCCTACATCGGAATTTTGAAAAACGTCTAACGACAATGGAGTTTGAGATGGCTAAAATGCGAATTTTAAATGAGTGTTCGCTATTGCTTTCAACTTGTCAAAATGTTGGATTTTTCTTTAAAATAATAGCAAAATCTATTGAAAAACGTATTGAAAGTAATCAGATCATGTGTAGAATTATCAACTTTCATACATTTTTTTTTCAGATCAATTTTTATAAACCTTTTGTCATGGTGATCACTTTAACCTGTTTTTATTTTAAATTTATTAAATGTTGATGTTTTATTACGTAAAAAAAAGTTATTGTCAAGATAAAAATATTCTATTTTAAACTTAATTCTCCATTTTTTTAAACTTTGAAATATTCAAAAAATGAAATTTAAAAGAAAAAAAAAGTTTCTGAAAATAAATTCATTATTTTCTGTAAAAAAGGAGTAAAAGATTTTAGCGTTGTCTGGATAGACATACATAACTCCTGTAGGAAAAAAAACGTTATATTTTCGTGGTTTGACGTCTTGATGAAACAAAGGAAAAATAAAATCATTTAAGTCATAAAAAATAGTTAAAATTTGTGACTAATTACTGAAAATTTCAAAATGATTGATTTTAAAATTATGTCCTATTAAATATTTTAGTTCATTTATTTATTTCCAAAATATTATTCTTCATTATTCATTATTATTGATTCATTATTATTATTGATATTATTATTATTATTGATAACAGAATTTTGTATATCGTTCCAAAATAATTGTAAAATATTCATTTAATCTCAAAAGAACAGAAAAAAAATTAAAGCTCATGCATATTTATAATTATAATACATATTTATAACTATAATATTTATAATTATAATATTTAAAATTATAATATTTATAATTATAATATTTATAATTATCATGCATACATATTATTTATTTTCATTTAAAAATGGCACATTTTATTTTTAAGAATGTGACATATTTAAGTAATTTAATAACACTCGCATGGATCAAAATAAATAAGTAAATCGGAATTTATTTAAAACTTCCAAAGCAAAATCAGCGAATTTATCAATTGAAAATATTTTACAGTAAGGAAACTTTTCTTTACCGCACTGTTTAATTACTTTAAAACATAGAAAGTGCGATATTTTTTTAATTTAATAATGAATCTTTATAAAACTGCGATCAGGAATTCAAGCATTCCGTCAATTATAAAATGAGAGTTTTTTTCTTTTATTGGCAACGAAAGTGAATGCCAAGTTGTCGCCAAAAAACTTTCTCTGATGTTTTCTCCTTCTCACCTCAAATAAGTTACGCGCTTGCCGGCTCATTTGTTCGAATGGGATGGGGATGTAGGGAGAGTGAGTGATCTAGTGATACCGATTTGCCAATATTTTTAAGGATTTGTAGGAAAAAAACTAAAATATTATCAATCAACCAATTATTTTTCTTTATGATAAACTATTAAAAATGTGATAACATCTTCTGTTTTGTTGCATCAATTAAAGGTAAGATAAATAATTTTATCCTTAACATTTATTTTTAAAAAAAAATATTATTCAAAGTTAAGTAAAATTTTTTAGTTATTAAATTTTGTTTGCATAATTTTTTGAATTTAAATCGACAATATTGTTTATTTTTTCTTAATAATCTTTTGAATTAGTGAAGGAAGGATGTATGCTGTTATGAATAACTTACTATCAATATACTATATTATTTAAATTTTTTGAAATTAATTTAAATAGTTTTTGTACTTAATATATTTTGAATTAATCCATGATGTTTGGAAATTATAAATTTATGGCCTGCTATTTTTCTCTAAATACATTAAATCATTTATTGAGGATTTGGAAAGTTTTATAGAATAATTTTAAATATTGTTAAAACTTGAATGATTTTTGATTTTATTTCAACTTTTATTAATTTAAAATTATGTTAGAGTGCTCTTTTGAAACTTTCAAAACTAAATTTTAAAAAGGTAGTTTCTAATATTGGAATTTTCAAGTTAAAATATAGTCTTGATTTTTCTTTCAATAATCAATAGAATACTTCCCCCAAGTAATTTATCTAAATTTAATAATAACTATTAATAAATCTAAATTTTTTAAATCATCATTTTGATGATGTCGTTTTTGTTTGGAGCAGCCAATAGCCACTTCCGGAACTTGTGCTTACGAAAGCTACATTCAGTTCCTCTAAATAACTCCATAAACTATCAGTTATGTGATTCGTTGTTATAAGTTTATTTTCATTGAAATAGTTTACTATTTTTATAGAGGTTTTATTAGAAATATCTTGTGGAATTGTATTGAAAATGTATTTTTTATTGTTTTAATATTTTAGTCTCTTAAGCACATTCTCAACGATACAATATTTTCACTAATTACATTATATTCACTAATTATTATTTATTATATTCACGAATTATTTCTTTTAAATTGTTTTCAGTTTGCAATATGTTAAAATTTATTTAAATTTTTTTCCTTATTAACCATTAACCCACCGCTTTTCCGAGTATTTCGAAACTGTGCACCTTGAAAAATTATGAACACTGAAACATCATTCTATAAATTATTAAAATTGGAAAAATATGCAGGATGTTCCGTACACGCAGCCCTTAAGATACATTTTAAACTTCTCTTTTCAATAATTCGGTTTTGGAATTAGAGGAAAATAATCAAAATCTCAATCGAAATCAGTCGAAACAATAATAAGGGAAAGGTAGTTATCGGCTGGATAACCTGGTTGGTAGGGCGTTGGGCCCATGTCCAAAAGGTCGTGAGTTCGTCCTGAGCTGATCTAAGATTCCCCACGCAGTAAATGATGACTGGTGCTCGTTAAACCTATCGGGTCACAATGTCCTCCATGCTCCCATAACAAATCAATACCTCTAGGTGTAGTGAACTGGAGATTGATCGTTCTCTGGTTCAGATCAAAATTACGATCTGTGGATGAAGGAATGGATTTATGAACGGGTCCTCCTTATAAACGGGATGTAACATGTGTGTGGCTGACGTCGCATTCTTTGCCATAGATGGCGCCACTGAAAAATAAGAAACGCACCTTCTGCCTTAAATTCTCTTGGTTTCACCAAGCTGGCTTGCCGGCTTACAAGTATTATTATAAAGAAACAACAAAAGAATGCACCATCTCATTTTCTAAACGTATATTTTATACGTACTTATATTTTGATGAAAAAGAGGCAAAAAATATTGACGGTGCAGCATCGGAAAATATTTTGTATTCAAATGAAAAGTTTGCTTTCTACACAAAACAGTTTATTTAAAACAAAAAGTGAAGGATAGAATATCTCCACTCTTCTGTTACGATGAAACCGATTAAACTTTTCTGTTAGTTTTCGAACGGCATCGTGGGAACAGTTTACTTCGATAGCTCCGTGCCGGCAACTAACCCATTGATTTATAACGCTTGTAATTTTTTTAGATACTTTTTATGAATGCATGTGAAATATTTTACTTTATCGTTAAGCGAAACAAATTGTTAAATTTTCCGTGAAAATATACGTGATGAATGCAGATATGAATTTCTTTGTATTTTGAAAGAAGTAACGAGTTAAGTTTTTGTCACGCATCAGGTTTGAAAATTAAAAATACGTGCCATGAATAAATTGAGTTTGAAGTTATTTATGGTCTCGTAATGTAATTATATTACGGTTTTTCTTTAACGTTGAAAACTAAATAGGGGTGAAATTATAAAAAAAAAGCAATTCAGATATTGTTGTTCCCCTTTCAAATTTATTTATATATAAGACTACTCCGATGATGGTTCATAAGGATTTATTTAACCTTCAAAATTCTTAACTGTCAAGAAAGAAATCACATTGAACTAATGTTGGTATAATGAACAATTGGTTGAAATTGTTGAATAAACAATTGCTGCAAATTAAGCTGGATTTTAGCGGAACAAAAATAGTTTAATTAAAGTAATTAATTGTAAAAAATAGCACAGTTTGCCCCCGACATCAAAGCGATTGTCGTTCCTGAAGAATTTACTCAGCCTGCACTGCTAAAGGAAATGAAATTCAGGTTGAACTAATAACGATACAAATACGATAAACCAGAATTTTGTACAAAATTGCTGTAAATTGAGCTGAGTAAATAGTTTTTTAATGCTGCAAAAATAGTTAAATTGAAGTAATTAAATTACGTTGCTCTTAAGCGCGAATTCTTTTCAAATAGTGAACATTGCAATACTAGCATGGACTTAAAAAATTTCTAAACCAACTTTTTCTCGAAGCTGTTAAAAAATAAATTCGGTGCTTGAGAGCGCGATTTGATGAGATACGGATTGAAATCAAAATCTGCTTATGAGTCGTATTTTGTAATGAGTATACAAGCCTGCATAAGTATTGTGTAGCAATAAAAAATTTCGTTGAATAAGAAAGATTGTTCTTTTTCTTACTTTCTCTTACTTTTCAATTATTGTAATTTAGAGTTAGAGTTTCTTTGTGTTGCGGATTGGTAAAACCCTAAAAAATCGTGGAGGGTTTTTAGATTTTTTCACAGATTTTTTACAGTTAAAATGTCGGCCGCGAGGATGAACTTTCACACACTTTCACTCATGAGTTCTCTTGTTTTCTCAGTTTGTTTCAGAAATGTAATGTTACAAAGGGGAACGTTATTGCCTAAAATCCATTACTTAGAGTGGCTGTTCAGTTTTGATGAAAAATAAATAATTTGATATCTAAGCTGATCTGATATCTAATTAATATTTAAGGTATCAGACTGGGTTGACACAATTTTTTTAAAAAATTGTATCGAATCCAGAGCCTTAAGTAAAACTCTAATTTTATTTAGGCTTAATCAATATTCCTAAAATTATAAATCTAAAATAAACCTTAAAAATTAAAAATTTTTTTTCAGAACTGTTTTCAATTTTTTTCTTCAAAATTTAAATTCTTGAAGAAAAATTCACACTTAGATCTTATATATTAGTTCAAAACTTAGCTAACACTAAACAAAATCTATCTACTAAGTTTCAATTGAATTTTTAAACAAACTTCTTTCGTAATGCGTGTTAGCATAAAGAAATTTTCTAACAATCAACGTTTTTCTATAAATGCGTTTAAAGTATGCAATTGGCGAAAATTTTTAGACAATTTATTTTATATCAATATATAATTAGAAATCGTAAACCTCATTCTTAATTTAAAGAGATTTAGAAAACTAATGAAGAAAAGTTCAAATTAAATCAATAAAAAAAAATCAAATTTTCGTCGAATTACCCGATTTTCACCCAGTTGGAAAAATAGACTGATATTATTAATTCCACTTGTATAGCATTACATGCTGTTTTTTGATAGTTATATTATTTTTCTGAAATTAACTTAAATGTAATCTTAATTAAATTGCATCAATTGCCTAAAAATGGAGATGATTGTCGATCTACATCCTGATTCTAAACTGCGTGATATTATAATTAAATTTCTTTTTTTAATTTTATTCCGAATTTTTTCGAATAAACAGGAATTCAATTTATGTATCACAGATTTATTCATTATTATGTAATTAATATTTATTTGCTCAAGAATTACATATTCAAGAATACATATACCTTTGTAGGTATGGGAATGAATTCAGTTCTTTATTTTTGTCAATTTTCTTTTATGTCAACTAGCAATGTGTACTAAAGTTAAATTACCAAGAATAGGTTTTTAATATAATTGTGAGTGAACATGTAAAAGTGAAAGATAATGATATCCTTGGGAAAGTCATTTTCGAAATAAATACTCTGCTTTTCTTTGAAAAAGTGGCGTAATTTTCAATTCTTATTAAAATACAACTTTCACGTTTTTTCTCGGAATACCTGTAAAAAGATCGATTTCGTTGCAGGTGGTTCAACACTATGGTTAGGTAATTGTTGAAAAAATGAGAAAGTCATATATAAGTTTATTGTTTATTTTTTCGTATGAAAAAGGTGAGTAATAAAAAAGTCTGCTAGGCTATTTCATTGAAAAAAATCAATATTATTTTTTAACATTGTTCTTGTTTTGATTATCGTTTAAAAGGTTTAAAATATTTAATTACAACGTTTTATTTTAACTTCGTTTTTTTTAATAAACAAAACTAAAACACAGTGTAAAATCATATTTTTTAAGCCACAATTTTCTTTCTACATAATAGGACCAGTGGCATTCTGAAATGTTAGCCTAAAACTCAAATTAGAATTTTTTTTTGTCAATTTTCAAATTTTCTTTCAACTAACTGTAAAGTTGCTTGAAGTTAATTTCTTGCAAATTTAATCCTAATATTTGAGTATTATTTCAGGAAAAAAAATTACATGCGAAAAATTATGACTGTAGCATGTCTGTTATAGGTTTTATTTGGCATACCATATTTTTTAACACTTTCAAAAAGTTACAGAAAAAATTATAACTTTAACGTATTTAAGCTTTCTAGCGTTTTGTAAAATATCAACTTTGATAGCTTTTGGGTGAAATTTTTTTATTTTAAGCTTCTTTTTTTACAAAAATCAATGTGTTGTCTTT